GTCTTCTTCTATAATAAATTTTTATAGTTTTGTCCATATTATAAGCATTACTTTATGGTCAAACTAGTCACCTGTAGATACAATCATGCTCACTGTCTATTAATGGATCTTGTGCTGCCTTTTGCACAAATATTGTACAACTTACAGAAAGCAAATGATGTATCCCAATCCCCACTTTGTAGATTCTTTTATTTAAATTATGTAGGAATTTATGTTTATTGAGTGCCCTCTTTCTGCTCGAAACCTATATGTTTTATGTATGTGCTATATGTTTTATGTATGTTCTCAAATGTTGACCTCATGACCGCTCTGGGAGGTAGGTATCACTCTCATTTTGTATGTGAGGAAATTGAGGCTCAGAAAAATTAAATTAACTACTGAACGTTAAGCAGCAAGTGATGCCGAAGGATTTGAATTCTGCTCTGACTCCAAAGTCCACATGTTTTAGTCTACCACATTGCTTCCTTAAAAGGGAAAAAATTACTGCAGAATAAGTCAGCCCTGGGTATCCTAGAATTTAAAGCATTTCAGACAATCGATTCAAAGATATATCACTGCTTAGATGACTAAGACAAGGCAATCATGCATCTTCAAGCCATATTGGCTAAAACTTCAAGTTTTTCTAATAATCTCTTTGGCTTAACTGAAAAAAAAAAGCAAGCCCATCATGGACTGTTTCTCAGAGAAAAGCTCCTTGTTTAGTCATTACTCAGTTTAAACATTACTCAAATCTTTGTCCGTTACATTGCCATGGAGGCAGAACTGTCTTCTCCCTTCCCCGACAGGATGTTCAGAAGTGCCTCTGCTTTCTCTCCTGCCCTAGAATGGACAGTAAGCAATAGCTGAGAATGTGTTTGGAAATGTGTGTGCGGTGTGAGCCACGTGCATGCAGGAGGCACCAACCCACCTTGCTCCCGCAGAGCCTGGGAAAGCCCAGCAAACTTTCAGGGCCTGACACGGAGGCCCAGAGCCATCCTCACCAGCCAGAATGAGGGCTTTGGTGGCATAGATGCAAGGGAGATAAGTGATGCTCATTTTGTTTTTAGGAGCTGTTTCTGTCACAGGAATTTCTGAAAGAACTGCAATCAAAAGATACATTATCTTCTACTGTAGAATATAAAGGACTAAACAGAAAAGTAGGCTGTAGCTAAGGCAGAGCTGCCATTTGAACAACACATTGAAGGGCTAGTCCTTTTACCCAACCTTGCAAATAAGTGCAGCTATTAACCAATCTGTTTTAAAAAGAGATGTAAACATGAGTTTGATTTCCTAATGTAAAATCACCAGCATTTCTTCACTATATTCTTCCCCGTATGTTCTCCACATTCTCACCCACATGTGGATAGCTATCTGCCAAGCTTCTTGTAATTTAAGATGAGAGAACTTGCATCTCTTAAAAGCCTATCACGTACCAGACAAAGTGCTTGGTGCTTTTTGTATGCAATCTCTTTTAGTTTCCACAACTATATGGTAAAGATATCATTGGTAATACTTTTATAGATGTTCAGTAACTTCCCTGAGGTCACAGAGTAAGTTAGTGACAGAATCAAGATTGGGGCCCATTTTAGTCTCCAAAGTTTATCTGCATTCTATTATGCTGTACCCCAGAGGACAGCTTTAGAAACAGTAGAGCCCACATAGATGTGCTCATGAATTTCTAGGAAGTGCTCACTGGTAATGCCAGCCTCTGACACAAGTCTGAATGCTACTGGAAGGGCTAGGTCTTCTTATATCCCAAGTACCCAGCACAACCTCTGGCTCATAGTAGATGTTCAATCAATATTTGTGGGCAGTTGGACAATGTGTCAGCTAAGTTCCAAGATACATTTGAAAACCATGTCTGACCATTACTTGGAATACCACTAGAGTGTCACTTTTGATTTTGATTTTATGATATAGAGTGTGCATAAAGGAAAAGGGGCTTTGCCTTCAGACATGGGAGGCATTAAGAAATCAGTGAGATTCTGACTACAAATCTTAATAAAATGGATATGGGGAGACTATGTAAACATACAAAGGTGTTTCGGGGAAACAAGTGTAGTGTTAGTTTTTCTCCTCTATCTCCAGATAAATTTAGGACACTCAGTTGTCCTGTCCTGTTCTGTTGTTCTTGGTAGCTTCCAATCCTTATATGCAAGACCATATTTTGAACATGTAATGCTATGTTTTCACAACGTAAAACATTGTACCTCATTCTCTTTCATATGTGAGCTTGATAAATGTGAATCAGAAAAAATATTAGGACTCAGGGGAAAGGTAGAGCTGAATGGTGGCCCTCTTTCCCTCACTTGGCACTAACTGGCAAGTGATGTCTTTATGGACAGGGCTATTTCTGCAGCCCCTCGTGGAAGGAGTCACATGGACCACCGTGTCTGCATCTGTGCTCTTTTTCTTGAAAGTTTCCTCTCCTGAGCAGGGGATCCTCCTTTTTGTAGAATCCGACTGGATAGCTGGTAACGTGTTACCTGGTGAGAATCAGGATATTTTCATATTGTTATATTTTTAAGAAATTATCTTTATTTTAACTGTTTATCTAGACATGCCAATGGATATTTAGGCCACATTTTGAGCAAAAACTCACAAGGTTTTTTTTTTTTTCTCCAAACCTCACATGTGTGCACAAAACAACACAATTTTAAGGGTTTGCTTAAAAGAACAAAGCATAAGAAATACAGTGAAATACAAGCTCATAACCCATTTTCAAATCAGTGAGCAGATGTGCTTCTACATGAGAAAAGGTTACAAATCAAGTTTGTGTTTTGTAGAAAGTGATATCCAAAGACAGTGCTGCAGGACACACTCCAAGTCCCTTTGCGGGAAGCCTTAAGCAGGTAAAAACAGCTGGATTTTTACTCAGCCTAGCAGGGCGTGATGGGTAGGTCAGGATTTCATGAACAAGGTTCTGACTATTCATGGATGCTGTTAGAAGGAAAAAGCAGGCTTTGCCTATCAGGCCTGGCAGTGATATATAGTCTCTCTTAAGTTGATTTTAACTTTACCTTTGCTTACTGAAAATAGCCCTTTGATTCTTTTCTTCTCAAGCAATGAAAGAATTAAACTCGATAAGTTAGCTATTGGTGGCCCATGGACCAGGGGAAGAAGGATGTGAAGATAGAGTCCACGGGTGATCCACCAGCTATATCTTAACTAGTAACTGGACTCCTTCTATTAAAATATTGCAAGAGAGTCACTAGTAGGCAAGAAATAAAAAAGTTTTCACATTCTCTCTCTCTTTTTTGCCAAAAAATGAGGAACTCAAGAAATCTCCAGGTGGTTGAAAGGAGGACAAAAATTCACCTAGTTTATGCATCATGTCTCATGTCACTTCAGATTTTTATTGTACTAGTAGCTGCTTCATAGGCTTAACTATCAGATATTTGATAGTTTTCTCTGTGGGCTCTTCAAGACCTAATTGTAACATAAACACTTTTACCCTATAAACTTGGAACTCCTAAAAAATGCCCCCAATATTATTTAAGTTATGATATAAATATAATTTAAACAAAGTCCATTTCCTAACGTCAAGGTAGAGCTAAAATAGTATTTTCTTTCTTATTTCTACACTATCGTCCCCGGGTATTGCTTTCCTTGATATGATCTCATGTATTTTAAAAAGAGACTACTCAAAAGCCATCTCTGCATCACTAAACCAAAGTAAATGAGGTTTGGAAGCAGGCATACATTCAACGTATTCTCTTTTGGGGCCTTACCAAGCTGAGAACTTCATAGTATTAAAGCAATGAAGAATCATGTCAATTCATAGGTATTACAGAAAAAAAATAAAGTTAGTGTTAAGTTTTCACAACTTCCCTTCTTACCCCTACCAACAATTTCAACTTATCATCCACCCATTTCATGAGGTTTTCACACTTTCTTTAGTACTATCTGACAGTCTCTCCAACTTTAATTAAAAAATATGACCAACTTTACAAAATTTCCCCTAAACCTTAACTCGGCAAGCCTCAGTCTCTCTACACGAACTTGTTACAATCCAGTCAAGTTTAGAACATTTCATTCGTATGTTAGGAGGGAAAACAACAACAACAACAAAAAAAACCAGTTGCACTTAGGAAATGAGAGTTAGCTGCCATTCTATCAGCTTGTGAAGCAGCTTGATAGTGGCAGAAATGAACATATCATCATTCTTCCACTACCAAATTGCTTAAGGTAAAAAATAAAGGGGCATTGCCAATTTTCATCTAACATTTGTTATGCTAGAACTTCTAAAGGAAAGGTTCAATGCACAAAGTTTAGCCAACTAGAGAAGAATGCTGTAACAAATTGAATTTACGGCCAAGTGTCTGCAGAAAAAATGGCAACCAAGTCCCAAGGCGACTCTGCCAGCTAGAGCCATAGTTAAGCACAATGTCCTGCCAGGAAGGTAAACTCTGTCAGAAAACTGAAATATTTTCTTTACTTAAATAATGTTAACTTCAGCTAAACAGTTGGGTGGGTAGTTCACATGAAATTAAGGAAAAAGAAAAATCCAGTTACTATTAACCCCAAAGCAATGCATGCCCACCATAAACCAAAGGTGCTTTGGTACTGTAGCCATATGGACGAAAGTGTAGTTGGGGAGCAGGGATTTCCCTGACGGTTGGATGACAGGGTCATAGAAGGTTTGTGAGACCTGCTATGTCTCCTGTGAGGTTGACACACCGCCATGTTCCATGACAAGAGTCACATAGACACAAGCTTATCAGTGGGCTTGTGGAAACAGAATGTGCAACATCTCTGCGTTGAAAAGTGACTTCAGGCTTGCGGAAGGGTCTCATGAATCTGAGGAAACGGTGCTTGGTGCCATAGATGAAGCACTATGGTCTCAAGCGGAATGCATGTGAAGTTTCCGAAATATTTCCTCAAAGACTTTATTCAGTTTTGGTTTGTGACTTAGCTGGAAAGCATAAAGATGGACATGGGAAGGCAGTTCAGAAGAACATCTGTGAGGATTTAAGTTGGGCAGCTTTCAGAAGATGAAAGATGTTTAAAGTTAAGGCCTTTATCTGCAAACAATAGTATATTAATAAACTCTATACCATATTTACAAATGCATTCTCTTGTATTAAAAACTAACATTATTCTGTTCACAGTGCCATTGTTTATACAGGTAGCAATCCCATAATACTCATGTATTTTGGCATGGGAATCAGTAGCGCTTGGTATTTACAGAAAATGTACATGTGTGAATATAAACATGTCACTGAAAATGAGTTATTGGTAATAGACAGATTGGCTACTGGTGCAAAGGAATGAACTGTACAGCACCTTCCCCTCGGATCAGATAGGAAACGTAGTTTCTTAAATTGAGAAGATGCCAGATCTCTTACCTAAAGTGGCATAAAGTCAGTAAGAAAACAATGAACCCCCTGTTCAAGTTTGGGTACACTGAATAATCTTAGTCCAAAGTTTTAGATCCATTGTCTAGTGCATAAAATATAAAAGTTAAAAAGATTTATTATTATTTTGAAATAATTATTATTAAAATAGAAGGTACTTTCTCTCACGTTCTCATTGTGCTCTTGCACTTAAGACCAATATCCTTGGAGTTCCAAATATGCTGGTGTTTTTGTCATGCAGATCAGCAGTCAGATGGCAAATGCTAAAATGCTCTGGGCGTTGGAACTGCTGCCTGTCACAATGTGACCCAGGGCCCCTGGGGGACATGGCAGAAGCACCACTTTCTTACTCACTCCTCCGTCTTCTCCTTGAGGGGCAGGCTTGCCCCTGGAATCAGCTCCCCTGTTACTGAATGGAGTTGCTCATTTCGGCAGCTAATGCTGAGGTGACGAATGGCTTCTATACACTTGGAAAAAGGAGGGGAGGCAGATAAGAAGTAGGAGGGTGACATTCCAAAGAGCCCCAGGACAAAACCCAGACCATGGCTGGGTTTATCAGCAAGGACTTCTCAGAGCTTCTACCCTCTCAGGAGGCCTCTACCCAAAGAGGGTCTCATTCTCTCAGTGTGCAGAGCAGGGGGCGGTCCTGGCTGGCTCTAGGGGGCGACGCTTTCAGTCACAGTCTGCTGCTCCTCATTCTCAGTCCCGGGGTCTGTGTGGTCTGGGCTGCCACCATCACTGCCACCGCTGCTGCTTCTGTGCTGCTTGGGCAACAGGCTCTTCCACTGGGCTTTGTTACGTGCAAGATGGCTCAGCATGTTCTCAGACAGGGCGCTGTTTCCGGTGAAACGGGCCCATTCCCTGAAGAGTGGCTCCACAATATAGGTCATGAAACCTAAAACAGGCAAGGCCAAACCCATCACCATAAGGGCAGGAAAACCTTCTTCTTCCTTCCTCACAAACACGATTGGGGCCCACTACATACTCAATCCAGGGATACGAAGGCAAACAAGATGGGGTCCCTACCCTCAGCTGAGGAGCATAAGATGTGTCACCTTGGGCTTGGCACTTAGCCTCTGTGTGCCTCAGTTTGCTCATTTGTAAAAAGAGCTTAAGAAGGGTACCAAACCCATAGGGTTGTTATGACAATGAAATGACTTAACACATGTAAAATGCCTAGAAAGCTCCTGGCACGTACTAAACACTCAATAAATAGTGGCTATTATTATTTGTAGAGGGAGAAAGACATATAAAGAAACGATTAAAAGAAAGTCTGTGCTAGAAATAAAGAGGAGGCAGGAAAGGGAAAATGGTATCAGGAAGGGGCACATTATTAGTTTAGCCCACCTGAAGAATTCATACATTTAGCCTGTAGGATATTTTTTTCAGGATTGGTGTTTCATAGTTTTGTCTTACTTTCAATTATGTGAAACAATTAAGTGTAGGTAAATAAAAGTTCATCTTCAGCACAGATTTTTGCCTGCGTAAAAGCCGTGTTTTAATGACTAGGTAAGATTGTTTGATGTTAGACTTCTTTGTTTGAATGTCTGTTCTTTTAATTATTTTGGACTTGTTGCTTTCTAATCATGTTTCACTGCTAATGTGCATTTCATATTGAACATGATTAGTAAAGATAATTTTCAGTCTAGGCTGGCATTATTGGAATTATCACAAACTTGGACATACTTAGGTTTTATTGTATTTCTTTGAAAAGTATGTGTGGAGAGGAAAGACAAGTGTTTTTCAGCATAACAAAATCTTCCACCAACTTGTCCTGTATGTGTGCGGGCATGTGAATTATAGGCTTGATTTGATTATCGTTTTATTGGACAAACAGCAGATACTTGGCCTTTGAGGATGCTATAGAGATGGGGAAAGGATGAAGCAACGCACAATGTTATTGTGCATTTCTGCATTATCTCATGTGAGATATAATTTAAATATTATGAGACTATTTTAGATAATCTGCACCTGAGGAAAGTTAAACCTATGACTTTATGTCTGTATTTTAATAAGTTTATGTAGGGAGTCATCAAGTAAGGATTTCATTCTTGAATTTTCTTCACCTCCTTCACAATCTCCATATCTAATTTCTAATATCTTTCAACTCAAGAGCGATGAGATATTAGATATTTAAAACAATAGTTTCTAAAGCTATGCTATTTTAACGTTTAAGGTGTGAATATTTATCACGATTATTACCTTAAATATAAAAAAAGTTACAAATCCAACATTTTAAAATCCAATACTGAAAAACCAACTCATTTTCTTCCTGAAGTTGCTCTGGAATTATACCTTTGTATTTCTACTTGTTGTATATAAAAACCTCTTATAGTAGATAGGCAAGTCATTTTAATGTCTGAATAGACACCATGAGGCCATTTTTCAAATGAAGGAAGGCTTCTGCATGATCAGATCTGGGAACCTGTTTCATCCGTGCACAGTGAGTTGGGCCAACCTGGATTGCCTTTACCAAGATATTGTCTTCCTGGAAAGGGTGAGGATGGGGCAAGGGAGAGATGGTGGCCTCAGAGTAAACAAGGAATGAAGGAAAGCCTCTTTCTCTTCACCTTTCTGTAGAGTTCCCTAATCAGAGATTTATTCAAGTTAATATCTTCTTTTTAAAATAGGGAGTTTCATGGAAAGAGGGGAGGAAGGCGGGGTAGGATGATGTGGGGTGGGAGAAGATATGAAATCCCAGTTCCACCTGGGTGACTATGAATTACTGGAACAGAAAATCAGATCTACACCTGAGATGGCTCTCAGGAAATTCTCATTGTGGATTGATTGGGACAGGAAAAAAGGAGAGGGGACATTTTTAGTCCCAGGGGAATCGGGACAGAGGAAGTTGCTGCGTTACTTAGGACCCACTAGAAAAATCTCTCTCCAGCAGGAAGCCTGCAGCTCCCCTCGGACTCTGTTAATCTGTTTAGGTTTTCTGTGGTCATCCTGACTCAGCCCTCGCACCTCACCTCCCAGCCCAGAGCCTACAGACCTGGGAGACGGGGAGCCGTGGCAGAGAAAGATTTGTGTTCTAAGGGCTGGGCAACAATCACCTTCTCTTTCTCTCTATTATTGGTGTGCTGGTGGAGCGTCCATGGGCTTTTTCTAGTCACTCAGTCCCCATCCCATTTTAAAAACATGTATCTATGGTAACCACAGTTTCCTGAGCTGAAAATCAGGACACGCGATCTGACAAAATAAGTGTGTTCTCATAACAACAGGATAGAATCTCTGAAATCAGGTCTGTCTTGCAAACCCAGGTTGTGGGCTTAACAATGTGAATGTTTTTCTTTGGCAGTTCAAAACGTCTTCAAAGGTGCCTGACAAATTTCTTTCTCACCAGAGCTTAACAAATTGGGTAGGATTTTGGTTAGGCCTATTCCTTTTACACCACATCTGCAGACCCTCCGCTACCAAAGCAACCTGACAGATGGGAGCTGAACAGGGAGGCCCGGCAGCATTTCTGTTGCTGTTGCTCCCCCTCCAACCTCCCCAGCAAGTCTGTAGCTTCATCTGCCCTGGATTCTTCCTGGGTTCAGTTTTATAACACACTTCCCCTTTCCCGTTTTTGGGTGGGGGAGTCAGTTTAATTGTAAAAACAACAGCACAATATTAAGGGAAATTTGGAAAAATGAGGACAACCAATAATCTTAGAATGCCAACATACCTATTTTAATGTTGGTGTGTTCCATTCAAATCTTTGTAACTAGGTTAATTTTGTCCCTGTTTCCTTAGGATGACTTTATGACCCTTTTGTGGGACTGCGGGTTAGATTTGGCCCGCAGTGATTGTGAGCATACCATTCTAACTTGCTCTGGTTTTCTTAATTTTCAGCCTATCTTTTTGGGTGCCCCTTTCCCTTCCAAGGTCAAGGCATTGAGCTTTGAGCCTTCCAGAGGTCTGAGGCATGTGAATGCATTAAGCTGTCTGAGCTTTGTGGGAACTAGTGAAACACATAACTGGGTACATGTCAAGACCATAGCTTATAGGTAAAAGATTTAAAGTTCTGAGTTTGGTTTTAATTAGAGGGAAGTGCAAGGAAAAGAAAGACTTGTGTTAAATGTGGATGGAATTGGTAGAGTGTTTAAGGAGTGATAGAAATTCTTACTGGGTCAAATATATTTCCCCACCTAAGATGCCTAAAATTTCTATAGCTTGATTTGCTTAATGATGTAATGCATAACTTAATTAAAGAAATAATTATTTTAGATGCATTAATATCAGAGTTTAACAGTTTGCTGCAACTGACACTTGAGAGTGTGGTCCTAAGAGAATGAGACCAAAATTAAGTTTTTTTTTAGCTGAGCCATCCTGCCACCTGTTGGCAGGTCAGCGGCAACTCAGGCCGGGACTCAAACGGTTGTTGCTCAGAGCTTGCATTCTTGAGTGAGCTCTTAACCAACTGAGCCACTCAGCCAGCCCACTGAAATTAAGTTTTGAAGAAGAGTAGAGAAGCATGGGACCCCAGATCACAAGGTATAGTGTGGTTTACAGGGCATGGGTCTGGAGTCTGGACCCTTGGGATTGTGTGTTGAGGGTAAAGGGTAGTGACTCAAACCGGAAGGATCCTAAAGGCCAATTCCTTCCCTTGACGCCCTAAAGAGAGTGTGAGCTAATCCCCTCTTCAGCAGCAAATAGTAGATTCTTATTACTTTCCTTCTGCTCTACTTGGTTTTGATTTGATTCTGAACTACCAACTTAATACAGGCTAGTTAAGAGTCTATAACAAAGTCTTTACCCTATTTTTCATAAATTTTCAATTGTAAATTACCTGGTAGATTATACTCATGATTAGAGTATTTATTTGGACTCAACCATTTACAGGGACATTGATTAAACTCCCAGCTCGGATCTTTCAAAAGCTATGTGTAGATCTCCTTTTCTTTGTGATTCTTTGTGATTCTTTGGCAGAGGTGCCAAAACTATTCCTTTAAAATTAAAATTGAATTCAACTCACCAATTTGTATGCTAGGGATTGAATCTTTCTGTTGATTACAAAGAGGACTGATTTCCAGTTCAAATTTCTGTTCAAGGTCACCTAAGAAGAAAGAAGAAGAAACACATTGGTAATCTAGAACTTATAAAATGAGCGTTGATAGTTTTACTGATCTAGTTGGAAGAAGTTATTCTGGAAATTACTGTTTCCTGCCTTGTTATCATTAGGAACTCTTTAGCATTGATTTGCTCTGGTAGCTTCCATGAAAATTTAAAATATCAGAGTGTCAATGACCATTTCTAACAGGCTCATTGTAAATACCAGGGGTGCCAAAAAAATGTATACAAGTGGACACTTTGGTCCACGTGGCTCAAGCAGTAGTTTGCCATAATCAGAAGTGTCTGGATGCTGATGGTAACCACTTTGAGCACCTATTATAATTGCAGAAGTCAAACATGACTTGTATTCATCTTTTGTTATCGGTATATATTGAGTATTACAATTTTAATAGTTTTTTCATTTCTTAAAATGTGCATACATTTTTTTTGGTACCCTCTGTAGTTGTGATCTAAGACTAAAATAAACTTTTGAACATGATCTATAAAAACAAGAATACAACTAATGGGCAATTTCCTAACATGAAATGGAAGTTCTGGCTTTAAGTTAAGGTTAAGAAAACAGATTTTATGCTTCTCCTCTTCTTTTCACTCTTCCTGACCCAAGTCTGGTTTCACCTGAACAACCAGGAATAATAATTAGTAGGTAGGAAATGGGGGAGAGGGACTAGAAGATCTCATTTGAAGAGCACCTCAGTGCAGCTACAAAATTAATCAGAAATAAGGGTCTGATATCTTTCATTCTGACTCCTTAGAATTTTACCTAATGTAACTAAAGGTTAAGAAAGGTATAAAGGTCAGAATGATATTTCTTTTTAATGCCTTTGTCAGCTAGAAGACCAAAGGAGAAATGTATAATGTAAGGCTTTATCAAAACACTTTATTGATTCTTCCTGAGGGTGAAAAATTGTGGGTAAAGTCTACATTGGAAAAACAATCAATTATCTAGTTAACCAGTAGATAAGCTGATCCTCAGAAACATTAGCTGGGTTCACAGTTATGAATGTACTCCTCTAAACTAGAGGAGATAAAAATTTAACATTTATAATGGGCCTACTGTGTGCCAGGCACTATTCTAAGCATTTTACCTATGTTAATTAATTTAATCCTCATAACAACCTCATTATAATCCCCATTTTACAGGTAAGGAAATTGAGATAAAGGGAAGGGAAGCATGTTGACCCAAGGTTACACTGTTAGTAAAGAGGGGAGCCTGGATTCCAACCTAGGAAGTTTGGCACCAGTGTCTGCACATAACCACTGAGCTCAGAGATACCACATTTCCATCATTTTCTCTAAGACTGTAGCCATGCCTTCCATGGTCTCTTGTGCCCCAGTGATTCTCAAGAATGATGTGAGGAATTAATTCTGGCTTCACCTGAGGAGTTCAGGTAAGCCAGATGATAATAGCCTTCTGACGGCAGGGAATGACACGTTTAATATTAAAATGAATTCTTTGAAAGCCAGTTCTAGTCCTCATCTCCATATTTCTGTTAGTAGTGGTTTTTCAGTCAATCTTGACACTTTTGAAGAATTATCTTTGATTTCCCCCTTTCCTTCATCTTCCATATTGAGGCATCAAATATTGTTTATTCCTCTCTTGGAATATCTTTTTTTCCCCCTACTTTCCCTCTGCCTGACTGTAGTCTGGTTTCTTAATAAATCATTCCTAGTTTTTTATTCTTAGCTAGTTTTCCTCCTTCAGTGTTTCTTCTACTTTCGTTATATATGTTCCCCTGATTATACTTCCCAAGATGACTCTCATTGTCATGTTCTCTGTTTCAGCCTGTGTGCAGGGACCTCCACACATCCTCTGACTCTCACTTTCTATGGACCAAGTCGGTCTATGAGGCAAGGGTATGGTCCCACCTCGGTGCCTTTGTCCATTTCTACTCCTTTCTATGTAGACCAACATTGTCCAGTTGGATTTTCTGCTATGATGGAAATGTTTCCTGAGCTGCCCACTATAGTAGCCCTTTGAAATACAACTAATAAAACTGAGGAACTCAATTTTTAACTTAATGTCATTTTAATTAATTTAAATTTAACTAGTCACATGTGCCTTGTGGCTATCCCGTTGGAAAATACAGTACACTACACATCCTTCAATCCCCAGCTCAGATTCTACCTTCCTTAGCACTAGATCTTCTCCTGTGACCTCTACCATTAGAGGTCTTCCCATTAGATCATTTACTCATTTACTTATTGAATATATATTTACAAAGCACTATACGTTTCTGACACTTTGTTAATCAGTGTAGAGAATATGAAGAGGAAAACTGCATAGTTTCTTTTCTCCAGGAACTTTACTGCTAAGTACTGTGAGGTTATGAAACATAAACTATAATTCTTTGTATCCTTTATGACACCCCCAATGGGGCTTGGTATATAAGGAAAATCACAGTTTTACTGAGGATTCGACAATGCTGGTAGCAGATGTTCAATAAAAACTTCTGAGAATCTTGGTTGATTGTGAGAATACCAATCTGTAATTACAACAGGACAGTGATTCTACTTCCTTAAGGCATTGAGAGGAGTGGGGCTGGATGACGTGTAGAATCCTACTCTTTGTTCTTAGAATTTAACATTGTTTTCCTAATTTATGGGATCTCATCTGCCTTTCCCCCCTCTGTCCTCAACCTGTGGGTTTTCCTTTGCTCAACATCACGAATCATTAAAAATACTTTGGTGAGAACTGTTAGCAGTTTGTGGAAGCACAAATCCTGAACTGAAAGTGGGAATAAGGTTAATCAAAATGATACAAGTTGTGATTACAGAATTTTAAAAATATTAATTAAGCATGGAGGACAGGCAGTTTGGATGACCAGTCTGGTCTTCTCCTCTTAAATAGGCTGAACTTCTGCTAGACCATAATGACATTAAGTAACAAGGACCCAACATTAGCTCTGTATTCTTCTTTGTCTGCCAGGAGACATGCAAGAGCAAAGTGCATGGAAGCTCACCTTTAGTGAGCAGAGTTACAAATGTTCTAGGTTGTTCCATCTTATAATGCTGCACATGCATATATTACAAAGACAACAACCTGTTTTTGCAAAGAGATCTTACAGATTTTTCTTGGTTGATTCCATTTACTCCACTTAATCAGTTAACAACTTTGATTCACCAACTGTGTGGACCTTGCTATCTGCCCAAGTGACATGGGCCCTGAGTGGCTCATAATCTAAATAAGGGTACAACATAAGCAAATGAAGGGGTTAAACTGCTGTCAGTGCCAACAGGAGCACAGAACTGAGTCAAAACCAAGAGGGACAAAGTAGAATCTCTTCTCTGTCCCGTTGTCTGATTTCTGAGGATGAATTAGTTATTCTGGAAATGACTAACTCTCCTCCCACTGTGCTATTTCAATATTTTCTATATTACATAGTCAATAAAGTATCTTATCTAATCTAAAACCTCCGTGCTCCAATTTCATCCAATGTTCCTTTGTTTTTTTTTCTCTCAGTGGAGATTTTATATCATAGGCAACTAGAATTGATCTTTTGACTTCTAACCACTCACATTCGATTGAAGTGAAATTACGCAGAGTTGTGAAATTACGTGAGCACTTTTCCTCTGAGCACAAGCGACAGTGAGCAGAGCCTTCTGTCCCCACATGAACCCAATCCATTCCACTTTGTCTTCTGCCTTTGGGACCATCACAATGTCACTGACACATCTTTTGATGGAGGCTTCTCCAAAAGACTGACTGTTGCTACTTGACCTCTCCACAGAGCTGGTATGTGGGACACTTCAGGCTTTATTTGTTCTCAGCTTTTCAAACCTGATCCTCTCACTAAGATCAGGATCCTGTTGTGCCCGAACAAACATCCTGAGCACTGAAACCAGGCCTGAAGAAACGAGTCTGTGTTTAAAGGCCGACATCCCACCCAATGTCAGGATCCTGCTCTAATTCATTGCCTTGTTTCTGAATGAGATTAATCCTTTATAAATTATACCCTCACTTGGGGGCCATTTGTCTTTTCGCTGTATCTGTGTGAGAGGATGAACTCAGTTCTTGGTCAGCTGTGCTCTATTTCATTAGCCTTGTTTAAGAAAGTGAGGGGAAGGAATGAATACAAAAGGAGTTAAGTCCTTCCATCAGAGTGAAAAACATTGACCTCAAACAGCATTTAGCCTTTAGGCTGCACTCAGCTCATTAAAATGAAGGTCAGAGTAAAAATCAAACCGTCCCTCACATTTTTATATCCACAGGGGAAAGCCATTAAAAATATGTATATATATATATATATATATATATATATATATATCCCATTTTCACTCACTTTTATTGCACCTCATTACTACCTGCTTCCCTAGTAAGTCAATGTTATTTATTTTTAAAGTATTTCCAAAAAAGGGATGGATCGTTTGCAAGAGCGTTAAAGAGAAAGGTTAGGATAATAAGAGTTGATGAAAGAACAAATGTCATGATAGATTAGCCATTTCCCGTTTTATTAGGAGAAATGCCTACAAGGAGGAGGGCAGTGGAAAGGCAGCTGTCGGGTCACTACTAACCTTGCCTGTAGAACTCCTCACAGACCCTTTCACTCCACTGCTTGCTCATCTCCCAGATTCTGCAAGGATTGCAAATGTCAGCACACTTCAAGGCAATCTGAGAAGTGATAGGGCAGGGAGAGATTGTCAGCAGGTGATCCTTCAGCAGCAAATGTACCCCAAGCCCAAGGGGCTGTCCAACCCTCCAGCCAGTGTGGCTCATGGTACCAGGCCCATATTCACACAGGGCCTCCCTGACATGTCTCTTCAGGAAACAGCACTTCTTCACCACTACACAAAACTTCATTTAGAACTCTCACTTTATAGCAGTGAGGAGAGAAGAACCATTGGCCAAGGACACGGAGCTTTCTGAGGAGACTTGGGGTGGGCAGGCCAAAGAAAGCTGCAGTCTGAATCCCTCTGCTGCCTCACCCCTCATGAGCAGGGAGGCCGCAAGGGCCCCAGTCAGGCTCAGGTGAGATCATTTGGACCTCACTCACACATTGGCCAAATTGACCGACTCCACACATCACTGAAAGTATGTGTGTTTGCATTTATATGTGTGTGTGTGTGTGTGTGTGTGTGTGTGTGTGTGTGTAAGTGTGCTCAAACTGCCAGCCGGGGAGCCAAGTCATATCAAATCTAGGAGTGTTTTAATATTTGCAGAGCTAAATCAAGGCCTCTTGCTTGCCTCGCCCTGGCCTGTTCTGGGATGCTAGCTTTGTCAGTGATGTTGACCTTAAAAGGGTTACCTTGACTTCCCAGAGAAGTAGTTCCCCCTTAACCACCAACTGCAGAGAGACTGCTGCCCAGATGGGCTCCTGTGGTGTGCCATGCCCACCAGCAATGTCTATTTGTTTGGACCAGTGCGAGCAGGGCTGGGGGCTGGGAGAGCCTGGATAATATTAAGTTCCAAATTTGGTTGTTTCTTTATTTCCTGGTTAATCGTGGTGGTGGGGGAGGGGAGGGGGGCACCAATACAGGTTGGAGTGGGTCAGGGGCAGAAGGCCCCTCCAGGTTTTGCCCTTTAGGGATTCATTTGTATTAGCAGCTTTCCTTTTTAAATGCAAATATTCAGGCCAACTCTTTCAGCTGCTCACAATTTGGCTTGAGTCTCTAAAAATCAGACACCTGGTTGATCTTCCAGTCCTCAGGGACTAGAAGCCTCATTTGGGAAGGAAGAAGGAGGGAGATACAGCTGGGAGGAGAGTATTTCCTGGAAAGGATGGGGCACGTTGGACAGCTAGAGGGCAGCATGAAGACATGGAGAAAAAAGACTATAGTTCAGTCTGCCACGTGCAGCTCCATCTCCCTGGTTAAAATTGGTTGATGTAGATGAGTCCAGGGTCCATCCACTACTCAGCCTTTTGTGTCAAAAGGAAAGAAGGAAGACAGGAGAAAATGGTAGATAAAAAAAAAAAAAAAGTCTTGGTTTGGATACCAGGCCAGAGTTCTATCTACTTCTGGGGGACACTCCCCCTCTTGTTCTCATGTCACAAATGGCTTCTTGCCACAGAATGAAGCACAATGGATTGGAATTGATCTGATTCAATTCATTCAGTTAATATAATTTATTTATTAGTGCCTAAAAGTGGTAAGACTAGGCAAACATGTTTGAGCCTCACATAAAAATATGAGTTTACGTATTATAGTAAAAGGAAGTAAAGCAGGGTTTGATTAAATAGGTTTTAGGTAAAGGAAGGCTCCTCGTTTCTCAATTTTTTATATGTGCCATAGTTAACATAATGCACCTTTGTGTTATAGAAACAGCCTTTTAAAACTTCACAGGTGGGCCGGCCGAGTGGCGTGATGGTTAAGAACTGGCTTGGGATGCCAGGGGGCCCCGGTTCGGATCCCACATGTGAGGGCCAGTGACACTGCCCTCCACAGCTAGGATGCTGAACGACAGCTCAACCTGGAGCTGGGCTGCCATGAGTCACCGGCGACAGCGTAGGCTGCAGCCCCTGTGGCAGTGGGTTGCCATGGGCTACCATGTGTAGCCAGCAGCCAGTGTGAGCGGCCAGCGGCCGCAGTGAGCGGCCGTCCAGAGGCCAGCAACTGATGTGCCTCGCCCGGGAAGAGCACAATGATGGTGCCAACTTGGGCCAGTGAAGCAACATCCTCCACAACTAGACTGAAGAACAAAAGGACAGCAACTTGTCTGTTCCCCTTCCCCCAATTCCCCAGCACTATTCCTATCCCCCCAATTCCCCAATAAAAATCTTAAAAAAAAAAAAAACTTCACAGGTATCACAGTGGTCAATTTTACAGCAAGGCACAAAATGTGGGAGATTCCCACTCTCTGCAACTGCCCAATGGGGCTACTTTGTGGTGAAGCAGTTACCAAACAAGGAACAGTGAGATATTATCAACTTACTGACATGAAACCCAGATCTTGCTTGCTTGGAAACCACTTAAAAATTTCACGTGTCTCTAAGCTTTTAATAAAGTAGGTCACTGCTCTAACTTATACCAGGGGAGATCCTTCTTCTCAAATGTGCTGAAATGATCGATCACACACCCTTACGTGTTTTTACTCAGCAAGGATAATGGCTTTTTCTTTCTTTGTTTCTTTCTTTTTTTTTTTTGGTTGTTGTTTACCTGAAGCATAAAGTGCCTGTCGTGTACATCTTCCAGTCTTAAGTCTTTATTGTGAAGGTGAGCTTTCAGTCTGGTCAAGAATTCATTCTGCCGGTTGATGTCTGTTGCCAAGATCAAGGAGCCCAGTTGCTGTTCAATATCCTGTCTGCATCCACAAGAATGAAAGAGAAAACACACACACAAAGCAAATCCTTTTGAGGAGGGTGATAGAGTCTGCCATCATCAGGCAGCTTGTAATCTTATTTCTGCCTTTGATATTGTTTATTACACAGAGCACAAGAGTGATTCTCTCACCTACTGTCACTTCTGTCCTTGGACAGAAGGCATGCCACAAACTGTACAGAGTGATTGAAACCTCAGGTGAACAAAGTTGTAGCAGATTATACATTCCCATGGTTCCTATGGGTGGAAAAACTGAAAACCAACTAGAAATGCATGCATTAAGGTGGACACAAAAAGAATGGCAGAATAACAGGAGTTTGGGTTGTGCTTTTATAGTGTTCTAACCAGGTCAAACATGAAGATTTGCACGGGGAAAGAAAAGGGTATAATAATGGTAATAATACGAAGACAACAATAGTGACTGATACTATGGAATGGAAAGATCCATCAATGGAAAAAATAGATAGGACAGGAAGAGATACTGGAACTTAAAAAAGAATAGTGGTTAATTAAGGCATCATTACAAACCAGAGAGCAAAGAATATATTAGTCAACAAATGGTATAGAGAAAATGGATAGTTTGGGGAAAGAAAGCAAATTGGAGCTTGACTTCACGTCTAGAAAGTAATCCATGTAAAGAAAGATCCATAACTATTTCTAAAACTCACCTCGAAAAATAAAATACATTTAACTAGAGTGCATGGAGCATACATATACCGTTTACTGAGTCAATAGAAAGTGAACACCTTGTAATCATCACCCAGGTCAAGAACATTGCCTACCTGTATCCCAGAAGGTCCCATTACATCTCTCATCACATCCCCCTTCCCTCAACGCCTGACGTAACTACTCTCTTGATCTTTTTTCCTAGCTACTTATAAACATTTTACCATCTATATGTTCGTGTCTAAATAATATGGTTTAATTTTTTAACTGCTTTTGAACTTTAAGTTACTTGGTAATTATCAGTTTTTGACTTGCTTCTTCAGCATGATGTGTGAGCTGTAGTTCATTTTCATTATTATACTGTATTGCATTGTAATAATACACTACAATGTACCTATCCATTCTACTTTTGATGGTTACTTGAGTTGTTTCTAGGTTTTGGCTACTAAGAATAAATGTCACAATAAACACCCATGTATACCTCCACTTATATAAGTGCAAAAGTTTCACTAGGGTCTCTATCCAGGAATAAAATTATTGGACCACAGAGAATGTGCATCTTTATTTTCTTAGGCATTGCCAATTATTTCCAAAACAATTGTATACAGGTATACTCCAAGCAGTACTAGATGAGATTCTCATTGCTTTACATTCTTACTCTTGACATGTTTTTTTTTGTCAATCTGAGGAGTATGTCAGGCAGCTCATTATGATTTTAGTATGAATATCTTTGATTATTAATGAGGTTCGGCATATTTTCATGTGTTTATTGGCCATTTGTAGTTCCTTTTGTGAAGTTTCAATTCTAGTCTTTACCCATTATTTCATTGGGTTGTCTCCCTTTTGCTTATTTATTTTTATTTTTTATTTTTTTGGGAGGGTGGAAGGGAACAGCCAAGTTGTTGTCCTTCAGTCTTAGTTGTGGAGGGTACAGCTAGCTCAGCTCCAAGTCCAGTCGCCATGCGGCTGCCCGTCAGCAGCTCGTGGCAGCTCAGCTCAAGGTGCCGTGTTCAATCTTAGTTGCGGGGGGGCACAGCCCCCCATCCCATGTGGAAGTTGAGCCGGCAACCTTGTTTTTAGGAGCACAGGCTCTCACTAGCTGAGCCATCCTGCTGCCTGTTGGCAGCTCAGCGGCAGCTCAGCTCGGGCACAGCTCACTGGCCCATGTGGGAATCGAACCGGCAACCCTGTTGCTCAGAGCTTGCGTTCTTAACCAATGAGCCACACGGCTGGGCCCCTTCCTTTTGCTTGTTGATCCTGAGAGTTTTTAAAAAATATTTTTCAATAATGGTGCTTTGTCAGTTATGTGTTACGAATACCTTCCCCCACTCTGTGGCTTGTCTGTCCCTTTTTGATGTCTTTTGATGAAAGGAAGTCTTAATTTTTAATACAGCATAATCCATAATTTTTAAAATTTCTGGTTAAACTAATAATTTTCAGAATTTTCTTTAGTTTGTAGAGTTAACTTGCTTTACTTTTAAAATCAGAAAAAAATATTTTAAAGAATTTTCATGAGGATAGAATGAATAATCACAATTATGATGATGCTAAATTTCATTATAAAGTCTTCTCACATGTATTGTTGCATAACAGTTATTCTTCTAGCAAAAGCAATTTATAACACTGTGTTCCATAAAAACATAAAAAATATTGTACTTTTATCTGGAATCCATAGGGATGAGTAGGTGTATGTTAGGAAATGAATACTAATTGAGCAACAAGCAAGATTAATGCAGGTATTACAGGGATGAGCCTGGTCTCGGGTTCTTCTCTCCTTTTTCCTTTTGTTTTGTTCTTCCCTGTCCTCACTCTCCTTCCTTCCTTTTTCCTTTCTTTTTTCTTTAGCTGACCCTTCCACTTACCTCTTCTTTTCTTCTCCTTGTTACTTGATTTCTTGCTCTAGTTTTTAGTTCTTTTTGCACTTAATTCTTTCAATCTTTACAATTTATTGTTCTAGTAAAAGGCATGAACTTACGTTCCATGCATGCAGATTGGTTTTATTTAGTTGGGGGAATGGGGGGTGGGGAGGAGAAGTGATCAGAACTGAAGTTCCTCCTGAAAATTCATCATTCTTCTGGGTGCTAGGAAACAGCATGAGATAGTGTGAGAGGCCAGGACTAAACTGGGGACCCCAGAGCGTACTGCTTGTTCTGTGGTGAGACACACTTGGCCATTGACCTTAAGCTATGTGCCCTTCAGAAAGCAGCGTACAGGGATCTATTTACTTCTCTCCTAGCTACCTTGGGTTCTGCGCATTTTAATTAAGCAGATCAGGATTCCTGTTGGCCTTTGAAGACAGTACAGCCGCTATCTTGGGGCCATGTAGACAATGGCCTTGGATTTAGTAGGACTCTGACTAAATACGTAGGATTACGAACAGTGGACGAGGAAACTAGTACTAATTTCCCCTTCTGTTTCAAAACAGACACATAGTTAAATTAATGGTGAAAAAATTGCTGGGGCCAATTCAGTGACTTTAACAAAAGACATTTTAGAAAAGAACGTCTGACTTCTACTTTTGCTAAGACTGGCAAGTATGAAACAGAGTTTATTGAACTCATCTTAAGTCTAGCTTGAGAACTCCTGTGTTCCTTCTTGATAAATATTTATTATTTGGGTCTGCACAGGAGGACAATTTGTTAACATAAAAGACAGGAATTTGGCAGAGCAGAGCGTTGATGCTGAAGGGTGTGAAGGTGGAGAGCTGCTTATTCTTTTCCTGATGTTAGGTCATAGATGATCCAAGACCCTTTCAAAGGGCACAAGAGATTCTGGTTTCTGGGTTGCAGTAACTGACACCAAATCTCCCCTGACAGACAATACCACATGTAGGCAGGAAGAACGGCAAGCTGGCTCCCTGCCATTAACCCAGGGGGGTCTTAAGCCTGCTGTAGAGAAAGCAGCTTATCTCTAATGTGAGGACATCAGACTGTTTCATCTTTTCTCCACTTACGTCATTTCTTTTGGCAAGTGAGCAAGAAGCCTTGATTCTCGAAGCATGCCAATTGTAGATCGCCAGTGGTGATTCTCCAGCACAGACATATTCTAGAAAGAAAATTAAAATTGTAAACGAGAGAGAAGCTAGATAGTGATCTATCATGTTGAACGCAGCTTTACTGGGGCCAGCATTTACCCTCTGGCAAGTGTGTACCTGATGCCAGAGGCAGACTGGAGAAGAAACACAAAACAACCCCGGGCTTGTTCTCAGGGCTGTAATGAAGGTGGGACAGCAGCAGAGCCTCGCTGACCCTCAGCGCAGGGTTGAACGAGGGCCAGTTGCCAACATCATTCCCTTCTGCCTTGGCCCCTGTTTTCGATAGCTCAGCTGGGCAACACTCAGTGGAGAAGAAAGTAAGTGAAGGAGGTACAAATACGTAGTAATGGATACCATGGCGCTATGTGCATAACGTAAGCCAAGACTATACGCTTAACTGAAACGTGCAGGCCTCACAACGTCTGGTCTGATTTTCTGCACTGACCGTTGTTTCTCAACACCAATAAGAAACCTTCTGTGTCTGAACTGCCTGGGCAGCTGGTGACAAATTCAGACTCCCGAGTCCTAGTGAATACAGTTTTGATAAGTTTGTGGTGACTAATTTTTATGTACACTAAAGTTCGAAAACCACTGCCATGGAAGCTCTGTCAAGGCCTTCGTGGCCGGTATATTGGCACTTAGCCCATTTAGGTCTCAGTTTGAATTTATAATTGCTTCCGTGTTCAATTATATTGATATTTTCTCCCTTGTGGGAACCTCTGTGTTCAGGCTCCCCTTTGACCTTACTGTTATCTTAAATATGCTGCTTGTTGGAACATAGCTAACTATTTAAATAACAAATATTTCTTACAATCCATAGTGTTTTATTCTAATTAGTAACATTATTGCCTTACTACTGACTTGATACATATAGAGTAGAGCCCCTCTGGCTCCCAGGAAATCGTTTTGCTGTATTTTCTTATTCGTTTATTTGTTCAATCTCCATTTTGTTTCAAGAGGGGTTATAAACTTACAAAAAGTACAGGAAGATAATATTCATTAAAAGTGAGGAAAGGTTGCATGACTGCTTATATGAGGTACCTTGAGTAGTCACATTCATGGAGACAGGAAGGATGGTGATTGTCAGGAGGAATAGGGAGTTATTGTTTGCTTAATAGGCACAGAGTTTCAGTTTTGAAAGATGAAAACAGTTCTAGAGACGGGTGGTGGTGATGACTGCACAACAATGTGAATATAGTTAATACCACTGAATTATAAACTTAAAATGTTTAAGATGGTAAATTGTATATTATGTATATTTTGTCACAATGAAAAAAGTGAGGGTGAAGAAGCAGGGATGATAATATGGAGACTACATGGAGCCTGGAGAGAGACTGAAAACTATTCCATTATTTTGCCCCACCAATATATCTGAGCCACCCATAGGGTGCTCGGCGTTTTCGGGAAATGAGAAAAGAGAATCCCTGTGACGGACACAATCAAGGATCTATTAGGAAAAAGCAAGTTCAAGAAAACTGCAAATAGTTTTGGTTCTAAAGCCACACAGCAATTTCTCTCCAGGACTTTGTAGAATGAGTTTCATGAGGCAGTCTGACACAGGTCCTCTGTATAGGCGGTTCCATTGCCATGCATTTCTCTCCTTGTCAAGGAGTCATTACTCTTTCTTTACCACTTGAGCATGTTGGAACCCCTGATGAGATTATGCCTCTTTTATCAACTGGCCTATTATCTCCTTTTGGGCATGAGCCACACACAACAAAAGAGAATGTTTATTAGAAATAAAATGTTAGACTAATTTGTTTTGACTGTAAAGATTTATGAGAGCAGAGAGTGATAGGTTAGTGTGATGTAACAGATGTTCTATCTTGTGGTGACATTTAATTCAGTCACTCATGAGCACTGACTTCAAGACTAATTCAAGTAGATATGGACATGAGTGTCCTCCTGTGAGATTTTCAAGGGGCCTGAAAACTGTAACAAGATCTAATGATAAATGACACCATATCTCTATTGGGTGGGACGAAAGTGTCTGGAGGATTACCTTAAGCATTTTAATTTATGCCAGCCTGATTTAACATCTTCATTAATAATCTTCCTGAAGACAGCATAAAAGAATACTTGGGAAATTTGCTGGGTGAAACCATATTTGGAGATGAGCACCAGGGAAATGAAAGGAAATTGAGTGGGCCTGGAAGTTGGCACAGAATAAAAGAAGTAGAGTACACGATTACAAACACAACCTTTCGAGGGGCAGTCACTATAAATAAAATTATGTTTTGACCAGAACTGTGTTGGACACAGGGGCACTTTGGTGGATTCCAGAAAATAAGAAAAGAAGGGCAGCAGAGGCAGAGGGGACTGGCTAACATTTATGTTCATAAAGCACCTAGTTTACATGAGATCATTTAATATTTGTACAACTCTCTACTATTTTTATCATTAACACATAGATAATAAAATTTCAGTTTTCTCTGAGAGGCCACACAGCTAGTGAATGGATGAGGAAGGCATTAAGCCCAGGACTGCCAGTTGTCAAGACCTAAGCATTGCATACAACTTTTGCTGCCTTCCAAGAATTTCCACTGCGCAGCCATGTCCAAGCATTCAGAAGCCTGAAACTTATAAATTAATAAATACTTGTAGTTATGCTTAACTTCCCAAAATTTATCTACAGTTGCTACTTTAAAAAGCTATGATTGATTGTTTTAATTAGATGTTAATTTCTAAACCCACTCAGGAATCTTTACCTCCAGATTTGCTTTCATTGTGAAAAGTCCTGTAGTTTGAATGTCATGAGTTAGATTTAGGTTGTGTTGGGGGAGAACTCATCTTTCATTCGCTCTCAGCCCTCACACCTGATCAGTCTCTGAGACCTGTTGGTTCTTCCAACCTGGCATCACTTATACCCATCCCTTCTTTTCATTGCTGTGACCATATTTCAGTGCTTTCTTACCCTTCTTAATTCTCCTTCCTTCAGTCCATCCTTCCTACAGCTGCTAGAATGTGGCTTGTTTATTTGACAGAATTTTCTACCATCTCCCTAATCATTGGTTGAACTGCAAACTAATTTTTTTTGAGCACCTACTAATATGTCAGGTGTTATGGCAGGAACTAGGGATCCAAAGATTAGTAAGACAAAATTGCTGCCTTTGAGAAGCTCGCCTAATTTCAGCATGGTCATGCCGTCTGCTTATCCCCATTCCCTGTTCCAAGCCCCACAATAGTTTCCTATCAGATAAATTAAGCTTAACTCCTTAGCTCAGCAGTCAGTCCTCTCTAAAAATTGTCCCAGCTGCCATTCTGTTCCTATATATTTGAGATAATTTCATACCTTCACCTTTCCTTTCTTACAAAGCTCTTATAGTCCAAATAAATACCATATTAACAAGGCTTTATTATTTACATAATTATTAAATTATTAATATGAATGTCTTTTCCATCTCCTTTGTGCCACTTTCGTGTCTCCCAAGGTGGTTTATTATCCTCAAACACCTCTCTCTCTCTGTTTACTTATCAAACTACCACCTGTTTTCAAAGTCCGCTTCAAATACTCTGTCCGCAAAGGCGTCTGGAATCACTCCAGCCAGAGGCGAACTTGCTGTCCTCTGAGTCAGTCCTATAGCTCTCTCTTTTGGTATTCCTCAAGTCCTGAGTCCTGTTGGACCCAGTCCTGTTGACGTGTGTGAGAGTTATTCATGTACATGCCTTTCTTCCTACTAGATTTTCAACTACATGTGTGTAGGAAGCCTGCCACATTCCTTTAGTATCCATTCATCTCCATGCTTTGCACAGAAAAAGCGCTTTCTTTTAATTTGCAAAATAAGTCACTGAGCAAATTACTAGATTTCATTCAACAAATACACTGAGCAGTTACTATGTTCCAGGCACTGTAGCATGTGCTTGAACTACATCAATAAACAAAATAGACAGAGAACTAGTGGTGGCAGGAATGGGGAGAGACAGGTAATAAAAATAAACATAATAAATACTTTAATTTTGGAAAAAAATTGTATAGCATCTCAGAAGATAAAAAGTGCATGGCCAGAAGGAAACGTAGAGCAGGATAGTGGGAATTTGGGAGTCTTTGGGGTGGGGGCTGGTAAGATAGCCAGGGTACGAGGTAAGATTTGAACAAAGACTTGAAGGTAGGAGGGAGCTAGATATGCTGGTATCTGGGGGAAGAGTGTCACAGAGGAAAGAAATGGATCAAAGCTCCCACGGGGTTAGGAGCAAATAACCATGTGATCAGTGTGCAGTGGAGAAGGAAAGCATTCAAACAAGTTAGAGAGGCAATGAGAGGCCAGATCATGTATGGTTTTCTGGCTATGATAAGAATTTTGGTTTTTACTCTGAGATAAACTAGGAGTCACTGCAGGAATTTGGGAAGAATGAAATTATATGACTTACATTTAAATAAGATCACTTTGGCTGCTATGTTGAAAATAGACTTGGTCAGGTTAAGGGTAGAAGCAGGTGTAGGAGGCTGTTTGGGGGTGATAGCAGTCATCCAGGAAAGATGACAGAGGGTTGGACGAGGGAAGTCGAGGTGGTGAGAGGGCCGATTTCTGGATCTGCAAGGATGACTGCAGTGTCTCTGGCCTGAGCGACTGGAATGGCATGCTTATTACCTGTGATGAGAAGCCTGCAGGTGCAGCAGCTTTAGAGGAGTTCAACATGGGGCATACGATGCCAAGCTATCCATTAGACACATGAACGTAGACATGATCGTGGAGATATCAAATAAACAAAGTAGTAACATCAAAAAAAGAAAAATGGAATAGTCACACAAGTGATGTAGTAATTCGTGGGTTAGAGGGAAAATGTCACATAAAGGGAAAGATTGAGCTGATTAATTATTTTGAAGCTGTCAGGTTTAAGATTAAGCATCAGGTATGGTCGAAGCTCCTGTCTGTTCATTCCCTAAATCCATTTTCCTTTCCTACTTATTCACACAACTTCAGTTTTTTGATGGTCTCATGGCTATCCAGAATAAAGATAACATTTCCCAGCCTCCTTTACAAATAGGTGGAACCACTTGGTTGAATCTTGA